GAAGGCTTGTTGTAAATGCTAAGCATCAATTTGCACAAAAAGTGCAAATGAAGGCGGACACAGGAGGTAGAAAAAAGAAATGATTTATTTGAGATCTCAAGTATGCATAAACAATACATAAACAATAAGCCATATCAAACCCGTACATATTGCTGTGCACATTTGATGATTGTAAACCATTGGCTTAATTGAATTTTGTAAATGGCATGAAAGAACGACTGTTCAGTTCTGATCAACGTAAGTACCTCTCAGGGCAAATAGGTATACTAGACGGCGAGTAAGACGTCTTTGTGTCAAGATACATTCCTCAACTTAGAAAAGAAAACTAAAACGTTGAGAAACTGAAAAAAAAACCAATGAACACAAAAAAAACCGTAATGCACATACAATTCTCCCTATTTGAATTGTATTATCACAATGAGCACTGTAAAGTCGACAAGCTGATGCGATTTTAACCTCGTTCTCTGCTCAGATAATACCACCGGTAGAAAACTAAAATTAGGCAGTTGATCGCTTAGTTGGATAGATATTGTCTTTTGGCAGTTATTTACTTACCATTAAAAGCTGCAGACATACTGAGCTTTAGCAGCCATTGCATCTACCCTGGCTCCGGTGTCCCTATTGATACCTGAGGAGTATACTTGAGTGTGATGGCTCTCCTGAGGCTTTATAAAGCCGTTTTCACTCCGCTGCCAAAAGAAAACAAGATAAAGGGAAGAGCAAGGGGGAAGGAACTACTAAACTCCGGAGTTTCGATGTAACCTACTTCATATGGTACCATGCTTCGTCACCATTGTTGTCAACTGGGTAACGTATACCACACATCGAGCCGGGTGGAGATTTTGAATTGAAAATTAGTAAGCTTTTATTTGACTTATTCCATTAAATCTCGAATAATTAAACTCACTTTCTCATGTGGCCACCACTTTGCATCCTTTGTAACCTTAATTTCGTAGACCGCCGTTTGATTTCGGTTATTCTATCTACAGATCCTACTACAGCCAGTTCAACCAGTGAAAAGAATATGAAGGCGACACAGACAAAAAACCAAAGATCAATAGCCTAAAATAATATTTTTCCTATT